TTGTTGGAGCGCCCATCTTCATGTAAAACACATCGTGGGCTAGCGGGTACTCAAGGGCTAATACCAGTGCATGCTGAGATGGATAGAATACCTTCATTTTAAAAATAGAATATTGAAGCTTCGCCTCGGCAAGACGCTTTAATGACGTGGCCTCTTACATCCTGGCGCATTGTCGGCCTTTTCTCGCTGGGAGAAGAGACAGAACCACCCGTCACAGCGTGCTTCTCTCTAGCGGTTAAGTAGTTGAAGAACTTATTTATAGAGGGTCTGACTCTTGGTTGGTGGCTTTCCATACGGTCTCATAGAGCCAAGCAAATGTAAACAAATAGAAATTGGAGACGATAAGCATCTTATCTTTCGTATACGTCGTGCATTGTACTTTGCAGTCAGAGCGTAAGTCACTATCTGTACGTACCTACGTTTTGAAGGTAGCTTGGAAAGTCTTATGAAAGGTGAGATGGCGCATTCTTTTCCGCCAATGAACAAAATGATTCCGATACTAATCAGGAAATTTACTAGCTCTAAGTACCCGAGATACACACCTCTTATAGGTTATTGATACCCCCCACTACTGCTGCTGTGATCACAGAAAATAATCCTGAAAATGGCTACAAATACATAAAACATCGCTTGTTTTGCTCTTGACGTAGGCAGAAGACCCGCACGAGTAGCTCCATAAAAAGATCGATATAGACAGCATGAAAGGACTCCACTTCAGCGCGGCGACCAATTTTGAATGGCTTAGACCGATATCACGACAAGCTGCTCTGGCTCTTTAGCTTGCTGTTAAGCAAGCTGGGATTCCTATACCAGGTCCAGTTTGTCACCAACTAGTTGGACATTGCCGTGGGCTCCACTGTGAAGTGTCACAATTCTTTTCCGCCGCTGAAAAAGGATATGGAGTCCCTAATTTGTGCAGAGGGACTTTCAAGTGCGGTGAACATGAATGGCAAGACCGTGTGCTATCAAGCCTAAGCAGAAACGCTTGGTCAGATCTGGAACATTGTAGCCGCATATATCGAAAAGGACCTCAGCATTCTCACTGAAAACCACATCAACCGCCACTTTTGGTCGGTCTCGCTCAACGATACCCTTGAGTACACTGAAGGGAATCTCGTTTTAAGTACGCTATGAAATTCAAACAGTGCAAAATGAATAAAAAGCACACACAGTAAATCCAGATGTAGCGATCACTTTTGTACAGAGTCTAAAACGATAAAACGTGAGCCTATAGTATTCCACATCTTTCTTGACGAGGTCTGATATGTACACAAAATGTATTTTGTGTACGTACACCACACACTTCTGGTAGGTCAATTTTTAGTATTGTGCTGAATACTTGGGCATTTTGTAAAAAAATTATGTTTGGAAAAGTCAGCATCAACATGCGTCAGATACGTCTCCTGGATGCACAATCTGTAGCTCACGCTATCAAAGCAAACGTTTTTCGCAACATTTTAAGACGTTGGTTTGGCTACCAATTCTTTTCCCCGTGTCTGATATTACGTCTATGTTCATGATCAATTATTTCAAAAGTGGTACGGTACATAGCTGGCTACGTAGTGAATGGAAAGCAGGTCCGTTAAGCTCGGCATATGACACTCAATGTAATAACCAGCAGGTAGTTTCAACTGCGAGAAAATAGCATTGGATTGCGCAATAAACAGTAGAATACGAGATTTATTTATATATCAAGTCATGAATCTACAATCTTTAGGCAAACGTCACCAAAGTGCAACAGCTGCCCTGCACTCCGCGTATTGAGACTTAGAGTTTAAGTGCTCGAATTAATAAATGCTCAGAGGATGAGTTTTGGCGCTCTAGTTCCTCTGAAGGAATGAACATTGTAAGCTCAGTCTGTCATTCCAGAGTATATATATATTAGTCTCATGCAAAATATTATATGTTTTACTCGTTCACACCAAACTGACGTTTCTTTCTGAAGTGCGGTTAGCAGCCTACTTGGACATCAGCCCCTCGTTTTTGAAGTTCTAACCTTTTTCAGTTTTTCGTCATTTTCAATATATACATATAGATATTGTTTCTTTTAGTATTCACAGTTACATTAAATAAAATGTGCTTGCTGTGTATTGTGTTTAGCGGGAATAGACTTTGTTAATGTGAGCCCACACATTCCACTTCTGAAAAGTAAACAACATACAGTCTTGTACAATCGAAGTCCGTTAGAATTTTTTCTTTAGCGAGTGGTCAAGAAATTGAAGCGGACACAATGTTTTAAAAACACATTACTTTGTTGCTCAATTGTGAGATATCAAGCTTCCGTACCTTTAAAAAAAGTATGGCTTCGTTACGGAGAGGTTTGTGGTATACAAATGCTGCTTGCCGCGCGTCAAGCAATGAAGATAGATTAGGTATCGTATAAATTCCAAATAGAGTTAGCCTTAAACAAATGTCACTCACTAAAAAAGCAGAGCAGCTTAAGTGACTGATTCCCTCTTGGCTTTCGGTTTCGCTTTTGGATGGAGTGTACAATACAAGCTTAATGCAATTGATCAAACAGACTCGTTGAGTCAAAGCTTATTCTGTGGAAAGAGCACGGCAACGTCGCTACGCTTGGTAGAAATTGTATGTAGTCAAACGTACGACGTGAATAAGTTTCTTCTTTTTGAGGTTGGTACACGCATTAATCGGGTATTAATCATCAAAAATAGTGCACGCTTGAAAACCTTCCGTCTACTGTTCATTCAAAGGAATCAGCAAACTGGGAAGCTATTTTCCAACAGTAATATTGATTTAGAAGGCACCACTAAGAGCGCCACAACTGGGCGTCTGTGGTTGTGATACCTCTAATTCTGGGTGTCCGACGAAGACAAGGACAGAGAAACTCTTTTCCTCTTGATGAAGAAATTTTAAAGGTCAAAATTACTTCATGCCCTGAATGAGGTACATCGTGGCGTTGAATGCACCTCTGAGCTAGGGCTCACGCGCAATAACGGGGACTATAGAAATAACCTTGTCGAAAGCATCACCTACAGCGTTGAAAGTTTGTGGATACCTTCTGATTGCCGAGTTTAAAGCATAAAGCATCTTCTGCCTCACGTACATTTACAGAATTCTCCTCACTGTTCGAACTAAAGACCTGATTATATTTATGTTAGCCTTATGTTTATACTCTGTTGTCTAAACTTAAAATAACCGGTCAAGCTGTTGCTTCAAAGTGAATAATCTAAATACTGGGAAACTCATATACAAATAGACCTAAATTTAAAGCTGTACGGAACTTTTGAAGAAGCCCATGTATTTTTCGTTTCTAAAAATAGTAACTACGTCACTAAAAGATGCTCTTAGATTTCATGTCTTGGTTATCAAAGCAAAATTTATTTTAAGGCTGAAGCTTGGCCTATTTGTCTTATGAGAAAGATATGCTCTAAACATTCGGTATTGTTGTGGTAGAATGGTTTCTTATACACGATTAATGCTATAATACCTTCTGATCGGTGTATGGATTCATAGACAAACTCAAAAACAATCCAGCGCTGTCGCAGGAAATGATCTGCTCTCTTGTGAGGTCGTCACAAAGTCTTGACATTATTAAGGTCGTCACCGACCTTTTGCCATGCCGTCGGAGCCTTTGTTGTGTTACACCTTCAACTTTGCAATTTATACGATAAGTCTTGTCTCGTAACAATCAGTCAAATTTAGCGCTGTGTGTATCGATCATGAAAATGATGAACCTTGATATGTACCTGTGCAGTCGTATAGCATCCATTTTCTAATTGTCTAAGCTAATTAGGCACCCATATAAAAATGATGTCACCATTCAAAAGTGTTGTCAAGGAAGCGTAGGTGCCAACGGGCAAACCGGTTCATACCAGTATGGACAGGCTTATGTGTTTACATTCGCACTTTACACTATTTCAAAAGTGATCCAGGTAAGAATACGATTCGGATAGTGCGCAAGGTTTGGCGGTGGCTTGCCACTCGCTGATCGGTAAACTATTCGCGAATCCAGTGTGGAAAATTCACTGAGGACATTCCTTGTTTGTATTGAAGGTATAGCAGGCGTTGAGATGGCATGAAAAGGTTGCGATATGAGGATCTTATTATATCGACCAATATATTTGTATGTGAAAATTTACTCAGTAAATTCTTAATTTGTATTGAAGGTTGAGCATACTTTGGGTTGGCAAAAAATAGATTAGCGAAAAATAGATTAATATATGCATCTCCAAATTTGCCACCCAGTGATCAAGAACTTTTTTTCGGTGATGATTTTATGCTCTGCGACATCTGTTCTCGACTTTGATTCAGTATTCACAGAAAGTATCCGCCCCCAGCCGCATCTTTAAATGCGACGAACCAACTTTGTCCACTAAGATGTTAAAGATACAGATGATGCCTAGAGAATATGACCAGTCAGAAATCGTTTCTGTGGAAACCAAGTTTGATCACTACACAGGACTTATCGACGAACAAGAGGAAGTCGTGCCGGCAAATACAATCATATGCTTCGCGACGAAATATGCACACTCTCCTTTGGTTTCGTCAGCAAAAGGCATGCAAGATACGTGATGGCGTCTGAAGTTGCATTTTGAGAAATAAGGTTTGGTCAGAAAGATCCTTCGCCAACCCTTCTACACGAAAATATTGGAAGATGATGATTACGTATTAAACAATATCAAAACGCTTGCAGCGTGCAAATGTTGCAGAGAATGAAGATGACATACTCAAGATAATACATGACGAACAACAAGAGGATTGCTCCAATAAACGTGCATCTTGCGGACGACAGTGTGGTTCAGGTGGTTAATACATAAAGATCACTTTTTCAACAATGACGCCATGCGAATAGAGAAGGGTGCGCTATCAACGGCTTGCACATTTCTAGGCTCTCACACAACTTTTTCGTCTTCGAACTATTCACCATCCAGTCAAATTTAAGCAAGACAGATGCTCCGCCGAAGTAAAAGGCTTTTGCTTAAACCTTGTTGTCCATGACGGCGAGGGACTGTCCAAATTGAAAAATAGAGCCTCTGCCGATAGACCAGGCCAACGTGATAAGTTTGATGAGATGCCGTAGGGTCACCACGTCGTATCTCTGGCATTTTCAACTTAGACGCATTGGTACAGGTGGCTTATCGACTATATATGATACTGGTGTCAAAATGACACCGGTAATCCAGCAGAAGCAAGGTATGAGGTGCCGGGTAAGCTTAATGAAGTCAACCCATATCATGCCAAACGAGGGTTCCAAATCGCTCACGGCAACGTGTGGGCTCGACCCTGACACCATCGTCCCGTGGAAAACGCTGCTTATTTATTTTTACTGACAAAAAATCGCTCTTCTGTGTCGTACAACTGTCAATGCGCAAGTCGGGTTATTAGACAAACTTTTCGGTATGACAATGGTGGGAATACATCGTTGGCACAATGGCTAAGTGCTGTGCAGAAAGTGGTAGAGTGCGGAAGTCTACGCCACCATACACACTTAAAAGCAAAGTTATGAATAGTTGGCTTGTAGAATGTGCTTGCTGTGTACTCAAAGACGCCGGTATGCTAAAGACGTATTCCTGTGACGTCTGGAATTTTATATGACATTGGATCCCGATATGCGCTGTAAGTAAAAACGTGTCTTCGTTCCAAGGTTAGGCCGGCAAGAGTCTCTGATGTCAAATAATAAGGGTTTTGGCTGTCATTTGTATGTTCAAGGTACAAAGGAAATCTGTACAGAGTTGACGCTCGTTCAATGCAATGTCGGGTTCTTAGCCACTCCTACCCCGAGAATGCGTATCAATTGGGCAGATTAAGGGCCATTGCGTATGCGTTAGTCGTGGCGCACATTTTATAGAAAATGTTTTTTTGGGGGACGAAATTACGCACAAAAACATCGCAGATACAGATTACGATGAAGCACTAGACTGGAGACAGTCTGAAGAGACTAATAGTAAATTGCTTCAGAATTTGACTTGAAAATTCGCTAGGCAAGCGACACCAACGTATCCAGGCCCTTGACAAAGCGACAATAAATACCTCGTTTAAGCGTCAGGTCGCTACAAAGACCTTGACGAGATGTCCGCCATAAACCTAGAGGCTGAGGCCGTGTACGCAGTAAAGTTAGTTAGAAAATTTCTGGCTACTTTGAGGTCGACGATAAAATCCAGCGATGCAGACAAGAAAAGATGGGGTAGCATGCCGAGATCAAAATCACTTCGCAAAAATCAGACTTGGACATTGTGCCACTACAAATCGTCGTCGTAAGGAAATCGGCAACAAACGAGTATTTTGGCTTCAATACAATCAAGACGGCAAGTTTGAGCGATACCAGGCGTGTCTTATGGTCATGGGGTTCCCGCCGAGATCTGTTATCGACTATGAATGATCCTTTGTACCTCTGATCAAATTTACGTAATTTGATTTTTATGGAGTTTGGCGTCAAAGTGGCAGCTTACCGACCCTCAGATTACTGTTCAAATAGGCTTTTCAAAACAAAAGATGGGGAAAACATACACATGACTTAACCTGACAGATTTTGTACTGAGAAACATCCGAATTGAGTTTGCATTCTGATCAAGTAGCTATACCGGCTGAAGTAATTGCCTCGTCGTAGTGGACTAAACTTGCCATTACAAGGTGCATAGATGTGCATCTAATGTACATCTATGCACCTTGTAATGGCATGACTGTACATCTATGCACCTTCTGTGTGCATTGTGGGAATTTCTAAGCGAAGATTACAGTATTGTGTTCCAAAATGCAAACAAAATATCTTATACAAACTCACAAACATTCTGTGTAACACAGAATGCTGGTTGCTACCTGGGATCTAAATTGGTGACGAGACTGACGTGTCTCTGTCTTTTGAAGCGGCTGGCGTAGCCAGGACCTTCTACTGGATACTCCAACGAAAGGTGAACATCAATTTTTTCAATGTTCAAGCTGCGTTCTCCCAAGATTTTGTATAAGATGAAGCTGAGGCTCAATCTTAAATCTGGAGCCTAATGTTTTACTGATTAAATTGTTAAGAGCCCTTGGGGTGTTTTGCATGTAGCTGGAGCCATAACGGATTTTAATTTTTTTAAGGAAGTGCAGCGTCCGCCAATGATGTAACTCGCTGCGTACGAAAGGAGATAGGTTCCTTACCAGGCCTTTCAAGTATTAATCTTCTTCCCTCCAAGTCAGGAGTATCCTTCTAATTCCACGTCGGGAAGAGTTTTCTCGTCGCAAAAGCGTGTGTGTTGTGTTTGAAGGACTTTTTGTGAACAGCGTCCTCTTACACTCGTATCTATCGACGATCCATGCTCAAACTGGACATACAAAAGTGCAAGTCAGACCATTGCGTCTACATCAAACGCGATGACGAACACATGATATATGTTCGCACTCGACGTCGATAATCTTATTCTGCCAGTAGATTCGTCACGGTACCTCAAGAGACAAAACAAACTCTCAGTGCCCGGTTTGATATGGCATACTTGGGCCAGCACAATTTTTTTCTTGGACTCGATACTGAAAATGACGTGACAAGCGGGATAGTGACTATGCGTCAACTCAAGTTTGCGTCCGACATTCTGGAAATTTTTAAGGAGAAAAACATCAATTTCGCCAAAACACCACAAGACCCCAATTTAAATCTGATCAAGGCCGCGTGCGAAGAAGGCGAGCATGACGAGTATACGACCGATGTATCATATCATGATGCTGTGAGATGTCTCTATATTTCAAGCTAGACACAGGTTCGACCCTCGCAGCAGAAGTAGGACTGTTAAGTCATTATGTGGCAAACCCGAGTTCAACGCGCTAGTAAACGCTATTTCGAGTCTTTGTATTAGGGTGGCTGGACCATTGCACACTTTATATGGTACACACTTAGATACTGGTTATCTTATTGTGCTTTACGCTTAGTGGAAGGTGGTTGAGTTAGGTACATTTATTCTTATTTAAGAGAAAGATCAGGATAAGTATAAAATCAACTTTGATATGTTCACTCATCATTTTGATCAAGAGATCCTTGATCACCAAACAAGGTGCAACGGACCATTCTATACCTTACTTTATTCTTCAAAAACGTTGGTGTTTGTTTTGGCTGCTTTTAGCTTGATAAGAGCGTGCATTATTTTTCGCTGGCCATTACTCATTCTGACGTAGGGAGTTGGTGTAAAGTAGATAGCATGGTTGTTGTTAAATGGGCGCGTATGACAGCTGCGTAAGAAGATCAAGCCTCAGGAAAAGTAACCTCAGCGCCAAGATGTGCGTAACCAGCTGTCCCGCCCGTTACACCTGGTAGCACCTCGTGGTCAGTGCACCGACGACAATGAAGATGTCTGATTCCAGCTACCACACTGACTTCCCAGACCAACCGTCACTGTTGGACCAGGTTTCTGTCCGATGCGAGAACGGCCGTCGTCGAAAAGATTTATCGAAACTCAGTGGTGAGGCCACAGTCAAATTTTTAGCGAACGACCAAATTGTGGTCAAGGTGAACGTCTGCACCTTCACGGTTTCTTAAGCTAATCTTGCTAAAGAAGTCTCGACAAAAATCACAAATTCTCTTACGTCGAAACCGACCATCATAGATCACCTGGTTCACCGATCCTGGTTGTCTAAGTGAAAATGTCACCATCTCTACAAGTGGAGTCGCGCAAAATCGCTGAAGATTGCATTTAAGCCTTTCTTTGAAATACAGAGAGAAAAGCTCCTCTTTTGATTTCGCCAACCGTATATGGCATTGATCGCAGAGCTGGTTCACGAGGACTAGCAGAAGGTCGCATCTGCGTTTTCGCTTCTACAAGGCGCTGGTCACGAATATGGTTTTACGTGGATGATTAATTATCCTGGTAATTTGTCCTCCTTGAAGATGCTTCATGAATCGATGGAGATGATGTTATTTCTACCGAACGCGGCGTTTAGACATCGTGCGATTGTTTAGGTGTCGCCAGGGCAAACGCTTGGTCAATGACTTCGTACAAGAACTTCGCTACTTGCGAGTGTCGCTGGCCGAGGGCAGCCGTGATGGTCATCGTCTTTATAGAGGGATTCGAGACTGCCCCCCCAAAGTCTGAAGGCTATTTTCAACAACTGACCAAGATTGATGATACAATCTTCGTTGCCCTTCGGAAAAATCAGCTTCAGGTACAATCTCGTGGTTTACCCAATTGTCCCACCGACGAGCGGAAACTGTCCTGAACCCATGGACCTGTCAGCGGTTAAATACCGACAGGTAACCTGTTATGGTTGTGTCCGAGTATGGTACTTTGAACGGGAATGCCCGACAAAGTTTTATGAGGCCAAGCCCAATGTTGTATTATCAGTTTGCTTGACTCTCAATCGAGAAGGATGGGGAGGTGCCAGTCGCCGTAGTGGCCATTCGGCCAATTCTTGAATTGGTCAATGAGGCCAATCACTCAACAATGTCGATGTTGTTGCATGTTTTCCCCGTCGTTGGGAAACGCGCAGTCCCAGTCGGCGCAGGGTGGCATACTGAGGTATAACCTGTAACTTACTATTTCGTTAATATTGTGCAGGGAAAGCCGCTGTCCTCTCCCACGGAAGAGGAGAGGAAGGGAGGCATTCTCATTGTTTTCAAAGCGGCGAAGGAGGCCGAAAGACCCTTTAGAATACCTATTGACTCTGGAGATTCAACTAAATACGATCGGAAAAGAAGTGTTGCAGAGAATCCTGTCCTCTCTGATGCAGGTGTTGCGAAGAATAATGGCAACATTCATGTCCGTCTTGCGACCGGTGCGATTGTTACGCAACAAAAGAATGATGTTGATCTACGAGTCAAATTCTCGGATTTTGACCACAAGTCGACCTTCTCCGTCTTCGACATGGCTGAGGTGTGGTCGCATACTAGGGTATGCGTGGTTAGAAGATCACAAGCCATGAATCCACTGGAGGACTAGGGAGATTGCGAGTAGCTCGGCGGGTGGAAGTCACACCTACGGACGTCATGACCCATCTGTGGTCATCCGCAAGCGTAGCTACTTTGCAAACGAAGATAGAGCTCACTATGTTGGCGTTCGCGACAAAGTTGAAAATTCACAAATCACCAAGAACGTGCGGTTTGCAACGCCAATTGTGTCAAAACAAGTTGTTACTTCAGTAGATATATTTTCTATGAGAAGCCGTGGATCGCGAAAGCATCTGTGGAAGCTCTTGCTCTGATAGGAATGTCAATTGTGGAAGCTCAATATGCTCCAATAGCTTAAAGTACTGTGGAAGCCAATGCTCTCGTAGATGACCATACCGTGGAAACACGATATGTTCCAGTAGGCAAATCAACTAAGGAAGGAAAAGCTACAATAGCTACCGCTATTGTGGCAGCAAAAAAGAACGCTACTGCGAGAGCACGTCATGCTCCGATAGTACGAACTATCGTGGAAGCTAAAAACTTTGCCAAAATCACGTGGAACTTTACGAGCCAAATCACAATGCTCCGGTAGGTATTTCCACCGTGGAATCAATCGCTATCCTAGTCGAATCTACGGTGAACGTTAATGCCCTACTGGTTCAAACCAACATAAAGGCAAAAAAATTAGCTGCGAACGCAATGACCTGATTAGCCGCTCAAACTTATATTGCCAAACTACCAGAAATGAGTCTGACGAAACAAGCTTTCCCCAAGTTCCTTAAAGACCTCAAGAATGGTGCGTTCTCCGTAGTCGTTATGATTCGTCGTGCAAGCGCAGCAACAGAAGAGGTTAATACATGGATCTAAGTGTAGTCAAAGATTTTCGACAGCGATTTACATCGCGACGCGGATGAACAATTTTCAGAATCCGCGCGGCCCAAATTTCGTTTGTTGTGTCCAACAAAACGTCAACGAGTTTGAGTCAGGAAACCCCACGCAGCCTCACGCCAGATCGTGGAATACGACACGCGATCGTAAATTTGCCAGGTGTGAGATCTTTGCCATTGCGTCAATGGCCACTCCCTGTTGAGCAATTCGAGTTTAAAGACTCGTTTTTGCTACGAAACGGCAACATGGGTGGATGACAGAGAGAGTTGATTTTCCACAATGCGCCAACATTGTGCGCTCGCAAACCAATGGCGGGTGGCGCATTGAACACGCATGCAACAAGTTTAACGCCAAAAGTGTGCCATGACAGACCCGTATTTTCCGCAAGGATGCCATTAGCAACAAGATGACTAGCTCAAAACGCTTCAGCGTACTTGGCCTAGTAGATGGCTGCTATCAAATCCTTCATCGATTCCGTGTATGGCAGTGAACACACATAGTGGAACGTTATGTTAGTGGCTTGTGATACCACAAGGACTCTGTAATGCACCAGCGATGTTAAATTGTCTCGTGTACGCATTTATTATGCCGTTTGAGATCGTACGCGGTGGAGTATTTGGTTGTCATTTTTGGCCTTTTGAAACCCAAAACAGGCCGATCTATTGATCATATTGCCTCGAACATTTGTAACAGGTATTGGCGTGTATGACCAACATCAACTCTTTGCTAACATTGATACATGTATATTCAGCGCCGAGGAAGTATTAGTTTTGGGTTGCTTTCTCGGCGTCAACGGTGTTTGGGCAGACCCAGTGAAGGTCAAAAGCGATCTCAGAATAGCCGACGTCAACAAATCAAAAGGATATGTGGAATTATCTGGATATATACGGTATATTTGTCGAATATACCGACCACGCATCGGTGCTTACAGCGACAAAAACGCTACATATCCCAACAGTGGCTTATATGCCAGGTAAATTGAATGTCTTGGCGGATGCCTTATCTCGGCGTCCCGATCACAAATAATCCGTGACTTTGCAAGCGTATCCAAATGGCCCAGCGTATGCGGTTATCCTCAAGTGGTTGATAACTACAATTAATTCAGTCTTATTGGCATTATCCCCGCAAATTCGCGGTCGAACTCATCGATTCTTCCTCGAGAACGGGTTATGGTACAACCAAGTACATGACAGGCACGACTCTGGGGTTGTCGTACCGGACAACAAAGGCATGAAGAACAAATAAGTGTATGATTACACCATACGCCTATCGTAGATCATCTCGGTTAAAAAAAGACTTATGCAGTGCTGACACACCACCTTTGGTGGCCCAAATGTAAGCTTGGGTTGAGATTTAACTTTGTAAGTATGTCAGCGTGTGAAGCCCTCCCCACACAGTTAACCTCCAATGCAGAGTTTGCCAGTACCAGCGAACTGCTGGCGGTCTGTCTGTCCGGACTTTTCTTTGGGTTACCTCCTAACGCCGCTGAGGGTAATGGTGTTCCGGTCGTTCTAAACCGTTCAAGCAAGATGGTGCATCTTGCACCAACAGGTGACTCTGTTAATGGGAAACAATGCGTTTAATTATATATTGATCGTGTCTTTCAACATCATGGATTACCAGAGTCAATCATCACCGGTCATGATTCGCGAATGGACGGTATGGCCTTCTTCATCAGCCACCGTGCTCCACATGACTGTTGGCGAAGACGTCGTCGAAGTACGTCTGTGCATACACCCGGTAGGACCTGATCCGTTGCGTCAGAAGCCGATTAAATGATGCTAGTGCATCTTACATTTCTTTGGGCATCATCAGACACTTCGAGAACATGCCGTTCGGAGAACTCAATGCTGTCAGCGGAACATCACTCGCTCTCATGAGCAATCGGTAATACCCATCGACCAAGTCGAGTGCACAGTTCTTTGCACGGCCAGCCATGTTATAGAATATCCATTCCAGGAATCTGCATCTGTGCTGGAATGGTGATAGCGATGAGCTTATTGTAAGCGTGAACGATACGCCGCTTGCCGTTTGAAATCTGGACACGAAAAGTGGGTGTCGACTGGATAGACTTGCTCTCACGTATCATTCCTGCCTCGTACTTCGCACAAAATAAAGGCGTCAATGATGACATACTGCTCCTGCGGCAGGGGCATTGGCGTGTTACGCAATATTTGACTCCCAAAACCACCGCGTCAATCTTATGATGCACATATCGGCTCAGAGGTAAGATCGATGCCGGGTCTTTGGGCTCGACGTCTTGAAATGCCTATTCCAAAAGATAGTACGGATCCGAGGGATCCTTCAGGATCGACGATCCATATCGTGAGTTCTGCACCCTATTTGTGTCGTTCAGGACAGCTTTCCCAAAAGCCACGACGAGTTAAATTCCTCGTTCGGTCGTATAATGACCACCTCTGCTAAATTGCCTTCCTTCAAGTTACCACAAACCCTTCGAAGGACATCTCGTCCAGCACAAGAAGAGCATCCACCACGGATTAGCCTTGATGGTGACGTCGTAATTTCCTCCCCTGCCATACCGTTGATAAGGATATATAGCTCTGCGCTATCGTCTACGGTAGACACATCGTGGGTCAGGATCGACGCCCTGCGTCTTACAGATAACATACGGCATCGCCGTTTACTCTCGATAGAGATTTGCGTCATCCAAACCAGTGGGAATACGCACTCGTCGTTGTACAGTGTCCCCGCTAGCTGCTCCATCAGAGCCTTAATATTATTAACAACATCCGACGAAGAGCTACTTTCTCCGCAGTCTTCGTCCAGTGAATAATGTGCCACTTCACGCCATCAGAAGGGCCTTGCCGAGGATGCCTCTGACCTCATCTGGCCATGCAATTATTCGCAAGCAGCAACTTCTTCGAAACGTGAGCAGTGCTCAGTGGATTATGTGCCACTCTGGGCTCCCGCCCTCAATGCCTCGGTCCTTGGTCGACCATGAACTTTTGTCATGCAGCATGTGCTTCGTTACTTGAGCAGTGCTCAGTGGATTATGTGCCACTCCACGTTCAGTCCGCGAGCCATGCTCGGAACTCATGGGCAGCACATTGACCTTCACGGTCTAGTGCCCGCGCCAATAAGGCTTTTGCTTCCTCGTAGAGGTAAGTACACGACTTACCAAAGCTCCGCCAGGTGACGTGCGCATGGCGCTCAAAGTATTCGACCTCCAATCAATCCATGGCTCATGGTGTTCCAACCCTGCCATACCGAGGATAAGGTCATACCTTGAATCCAAGTCTACGACTAAGCAGCATTTCACGCTATTAAAGTCAAGAGAACTGAAATCGAGATCCACAGGAACCCTCAGCACAGTGTCACAAGTCCTCGTCGCTAAGCGAACAGTGACGGTAACACTAAACCGCGCTTTCAGCACCTTAGCATACAGCTGACTTCCTACGATCATAGAGCGTCGAGCATAATTACCCGACGCCTCAAAACCGATAAGGATTTCACATGGCCTCTGAAAACCCTACACTTTCCTTTTTATGACCAGCAAGCCCGGCTTACACACATGGTCCGTGTTCAAAAGCACGCAGCTCATTTGGAGCTGGTCTTTGTTGCCTTTTACCTCTTTGAGGCTCAATAGAAATCCGTTCTTCCCAGTAGGGCGCCCCGCGCGTGCTGGGTTTTACCGGTTTCTCTCGGCAAACCAGACTGGTTAGAATCGGGGCGTCGGTTCTTCGAATCTTAACGCGCCTTGTGCAGCGGACAAACAATCTAAAGGTGACGGGTGTCACTCCAGCCAAAGCACTGTTGGGTGCTTGAACGCTGCCCGGAAGCTCGGAGTTCTCCCTCAACATAGCTGGAATCTATTAGCTCAGGCCCGCTCGACAAGCTATGAGGTGTGCATACCAACCAAGTCTTGCGGACGATATCAAATTTGGCATCCAACGCCACATTTACCGCTTCTTCTGAAGAAGACGGATGGACATGGAAGTCTTCCATTCTGGACACGCCAGTGCGGAGGCCTCTATAAAGATAGTGACTGCGACCGCCTAGGAACGAGGACCGGCTGCCATCCCGGCAATGAGAATACGCGACTCTTGGACCATGTCTACCAACTCCTTCTTGCCCTGTCGGGCGGCAAGGAAATGCGATCGTACGCGATATACCTAGTTAGGCGGCGAAAGCACTTTTAAAAGCCGACGCTTCAGCTTCTTCCAGGAGGGGAATTCCGCTTTAACCGAAGCACCGCGCGTTAGTGCCGATTCTCGCGCTCGTCCCTCGAGCTTGAATTTGGCTAGCGTCACGCGCTGTTGCTCGTTCTGGAGCATGGCGGATGCTATAGCCGTCTCGGCCTTTGCAGACGATTCTCGTCATCCTTACCCTCGAAGGTCTAAACGCTCACCATGAGCGGCCTGGGTGAAGAGGAGTCATTTGTCGTCGACGATGGAAACATGGACGCAGTCGACGCCAACAGCGCATTGTCTAGGTTCTCATGCAGCAGTATCATAGCTCGAAAACGCCTCTAGGTGCACGTTTATCGCTTCGGGCGCTTGCGAATCTTGGTGTTTCACGCCCTCGGGGCTCAGCAGGAAGATCGGTTTATCAAGCCCGTCCTGCGTGCTCTGGGGCAAATAGGAGTATTGCTCCATCCTCAAAGTGGATCATTCGTATTGACTCAGACGTAGATTAACTACGATTGCTACTATGTGTAGCGGGGATGCCGTAGCTCTTTGCTTAGAAGAAGCAAAGCTAAGGTCACCGACCTTAAGTTCAGTACGAGTGCAGCGGATCGCAATCCGCTTACTTAAAACCTTAATTATGGTAAAGAAGCTCTTGTGTTTAAAATTGAAACTGTATTTAATTGTTTTGTTTGCGGCAAAGCTGTCTATATCTAAAATCTTAGATTTCCCTGATTAACACAGTAATACCTAATTAATAAAGTAAATCCTAGTTAGTCTGCAAAACTACAGGCAGCCCCGCCACGTAGTAGCTTCTTGTTACGGTGTAGCCACACCACTGTGGAATCACATCAAATGGTGTAATCTACACCGATGTACGGTCAACTTTCATACAAAGGTACGTGTTTCCCCGTCACAACGGCATGAAGGTTCAAGCGGCAAACGGCTTTAGACTTTACGGCTACGCCACGAAGAAACATAAGTCGCTACAATTTTTTTGACGGGGGGTGTCAGTTAAAAAAGCAAGAAGTAGAGAGTCGTGCTCTGTTACCAACAAAGGCTGGACACATGGTGATATCGGAAGCTGCGCAAGAGATATACGGCTTAAGTCGTTTTTATGCGGGCTTGGTTAGATAAAGATGGAGCCGATAGAATTTTTGGAAATAATTACGATGCTATCGCCTTGACTAGGAATCCCTAGTTTCACTTCGTTCGCGATAAAGTCATAAGACGGTGAAGTCAACCTCGAGTATGTCAAAACTATGGACATGTTCCCATACAATGTGACAAAGCCTGTACCAGTGAGTCAATTCAGCAATTTTCGTGGTAACTGAATGTTCGTGCACAAGCAACGGTCGAGTCGAGTGGGAGGGTTTAAAGGGAGCCTATCGACCAGCACGTACCAACCGGCAGAAACCAGTACTTAGCGGTATGGACAGGCTTGAGTGCGTCACTTTCGCATGTTGAATTATCCCAGAAGTAACGCAGGCGGGGATACGACTTGGATATTGCGCAAGGATGGGCAGCGACGTGGTACTCGCTGATCCGTAAATAAATCCAGTAAAAGAATTTTAATTTATTCACTTTGCATTTTGCAAACCGGTGTTCAAGCTTCTATTTCTAAAAAGAACATCCTGATTGACACGCACAAAGCTTCGCAATTTGTCGCATTTGTTGTTAGTGTCATAAAAATAGGACTCGAGTCTAAGTAGCGCTGACAAGCACAGCGTTGCTTTAAAAATTGTCCGCCAATAGTACGCCATTTATTAATGGAGCTTGACGGTACCTTCAAAACCGCTCGTGAGTCCAGTATACAAACAACCACAAATTTTACGGTACCGACTCTTATGCAAATTGAGTCTTAGCGGGAAAAAGTTGAAGCGACCTCACAGCTTTCTGCGAAAGATACTTAAAAAGTTGATCTGATCTCACTTGATCTAGAGATAAAAAACGGTGCTTCAGTCAATGCAGCGTGTTAAGGCTTATCGCTTATTGGCAAGGAGATCGCTAAAAAACCCAGTAAGCCATAGATGTAGCTATGAGCATCCTCCGTGGTATGTTTTATGAGCATCAATCTTCGAGATGTCGTCATACTGGACGAGCAATAGCTTCATTCAACTTTATTTCATTCACCCTCTGCACATATTGATGTCCTCCCGGATAATAAGATTTGTAAATTTGTCTTCAAGCTGTTTAAAAAGTACTTCTCTCTCCCGCACAAATTACGACACATTACAAAACGCAATGTGCTTATTATCGAACATTAGAAAGCATGACGCTGGTGAACTTCTCTTCAGCATGCAAGGTTTAAGGAGTGAAAAATGCGAGCAAATATCCTAATTGTTATAAGTGTGTGATATTCTTGCTTGATAATATAATAGATGCGGTCAGCATACAGTTTGGTTTTAAAATTTATAGTAGTAGCAAAGACAAGAAAAATTCTGAGAATTCTCTAATTTACAAAAATATTGATAACCTAACTTCTAATTCAAACTTTAGCAGGAAGACTATTTCACTTCACAACTATCGATCAGGTGTCAATTTTTTTACGCTTAACCTAATGATGAAAAAACGTGTTCTGATCATGCTCTTCGACAATTTACATGCTGCATTTCAATGATCTTTATATGCCAAGCTTTGATCAATGTAAAGCGCAAAAAATGAGATCCATTTGGGCTTCGTACAGACGACGTAAAATCCCAAAGATAATCGTCATCTGGTGTCTATTATGTGCCTTTAAAGTCGCATATTCTTCGTTTTTGTATTATCCTTTATAAATCAAAGTATATGCGACTTTAGAGGTAAATAACAATTGTTTTGTTTAATACTTTCTTCCAAGAAATAGTTTTATTTATTTTGCAAGCAGCTTTAAACTGGAACAGCTCAGCAAGGCTGTCGGACATAATCAATCAGAAGATACTATGGTAGCAAAAGTTAACAGCAGCCGTAATCGTTGCTACAAATCCATACGCGAGCCAGGAACCAATTTACTCTGCGATTGAGTGCTTCCTGCAGACTCTTATTTTTCGATTTCCGCCATTCCAGTTTGATCGTCCAATTCTCACTTCACAATGGTCAAGTACGTATTAACGGGCGTTGGGGGAGGCATTGGTAGCATCGCAGCAGACTACGCTGTTGAGAATCAAAACCCTGAAGATGAATTGGTGCTTACTAGTTCAGACGTTTCAAAGCTTGCCCCCCATTCTGTTAAGGCTTGGAAAGCCAAGGGTGCCATCGTGGAACAAGCCAACTACTCTGACGTTGAGAGTCTGAAGAAGGTGTTTCAAGGGGCTGAAGCTGTTGCCTTCATCTCCACCTGGCTGATTGGTGATGGTCGTCGTGGCCAGATGAAGAACTGTATCCAAGCTGCTAAAGAGGTAGGTGTCAAGCGTATTTGCTACACGTCATTCGTTGGTGCTGGATCGGACAAACCGAATGAGGAGCTGCCATTCTTACCTCAAGATCACCAGTTTACAGAGCAGCAAATCTATGCTTCGGGATTGGATTACAACATTCAACGCAATTACTTGTACCAGGACAATACTCCTTGTCTTTTCGCCCAATCGTGGCATTATACTGAGGATCGTTGGCTCGCAAACAGTCACGATGTCCCAGGTGCTTACGTCGCCAAGTCAGACTGTGGTCGTGTCTTTGGTGCGCTGTTGCTTGGTAGGCAAGAGAAAAACACTGTTGTGGAGGTAACGGGGCCTGAAGCGGTTACAGACCGTGAGATGTTTGAGTGGATGAATGGAATTAGTGGTTACAAAGCCGAGTTTGTTGACATGCCTGACGAGCAGCTACGTGCTTATTGGCTCGAACGTGGTCTACCCACGGATGTGGATGGTGACTTTTCTCAGCTGCCCATGAAGCTGTGCATGAACGATCTACTTTGCTGTGGCAAAATGCTGGCTGATGGGTCGATGAGTAAGGTGACAGACACGGTGGAGCGTCTTACTGGCCGCAAGCCTCTAAGCTACAAGGAAAATCTACTCCAATACGTGGACATTTTCCCGAAGAATCCGTGAGATAAGTAACTAGAATATCTCTTTTAAGAGACTGTAAGAATTTTATAGTCAAGATAAATCATTCACAAGCATACTAATCTTGGATGTTTACTTATTCACTATAACTTCACTATCAAAGATTAAAAATCGCAACAAGTTAACAGCTTTTATACTCAAATCGGACAATTTAATTAGATCGAAAAGGCATTCCCGATGATGTAAAAGCCCATTCGCCAGTGTCCGTGTCATCATCATCACCATCTTCATCTTTGATAAAGTCACTTTCGACGGCAGAATTACAATGATGTATATGTGGCGGCTCAATTTGTACCCGAGCTATGTCGCGTGATATAGTTGCCGTGTCGGATTGTAGTCGTCTTCTTCTTAAAGTTGATAGAGACTTTTGCACTAACGGAGGGATAGGAAGTCCAGCTTTTTTAAGACACAAAAAGCAGATGTGCATAGGAACGAGACCCACAGCGTGCAACTCAACCGATTCTTTTGTTGCACAAGATCGACAGACCACATGACCACAAGAGTGACAATTGACACGAGTTGAAAGCACCTGGAATGACTTTTTGCAATTACGACAACTCTTGGCAGATAATTTCGATACCCACTGTGTCTTCTTCACAAATGTCCGCGAATCCAAACGTTTGCGACGAAAGTGTGAGCATAATCGCAAAAGATTGTCACCAAATTTTTCCATCAATAATCGTGCAGTGAAACCTGGAGCCCAACCGCCAGGTTCTAATCCAACCATATATACAATTTTGGTTAATATCTGATCATTTTGAGATGACGATGTTCGACCAGAACGGCGTAAAAAGAAGCCCGACCGAAACATTGTACACGATTGAAGATTTGACTTGTTAGTTGTTTCGACAAACTCCGGATCGTCAATCGAATCCCATAGACAGTAACCAATAACTGATCCATCTGGTTGGTGAATAATGTCCGTAGCAACGATCAGACACACTTTTCGATTCATCAAGAGACCAGGGGTTTGATGGCATGCGTGGCGAATGTAGATGGAATTCATCGGACGTTCTTTTGTAGGTCGACGCAAAATCGATACGATACGAGCTTCTAGTAGCGTATCAGACAAAACCCGAATATTACGCCGCATACTTTCTTCCTCAGACACTACGAAGAGCTCCATAATATCCTCGACCGACGCGTGCGAATGGCTTACGCAGCAAAAGCGTGTCTGCCCGGCCTTTACCGTCATTTCGTCTGTAAAATACGAGATGTCTTTCTTTCGGAGCTTGGGCTTCCATTGCACACTCTTGGACTTGTCGGAGAGCATTGACCCCATTACAGTCTGCACTGATTCATTCACGCGAGAGATAATTTCACGACGACGGGCACGAGATAACTCAGCATATGTTTCAGTATTCGAACGCGGTAAATTTGAATTGTGACTCCGAAAAGGCTGCTCCGGGGAGCTATTGGCACGATTAATTCGAACAGAAGTCGCTTGAACCATCGCTTGGTTATCTGATAGGTCTTGCATGTGTCGTCGCTGCTCAGATTGATCAGATCGACTATTGACTGGTAAAAGTGGGCCCGGTGAAGGTCTGAAATTACGAGTCCGGCTTCCTGGGGCTTGGTCGGACTGACCACGAGTCCTCAAAGCGCTTTGTGAAGTGCTAGGACGATGAACTACAACAGTGTGTTTAAAGGAGACACGAGATGGTCGGGGCTGGTGCTGCGAGTGCCGTTGTGGCGCTTGTAGAAGATTTTGTGTCGATACGTGAGGCTCGTGAGACTGACGTCGACGTTGAGGATGCTGGGTAGGTTTTAACTCGTGTCTCTGCTGACTAAGACGTGATTGTTTCTGGGCCTTTTGGGACTCAGATGGTTGTAAAGGTATGCTCGATGGCTTTGTGGTGCGTGGATTAGTATGATTACGTTGGTGGTGAAGTTGATTCGAGTCGGAGGCACAATCGATCGCCTCTTGTCGTTCTAATCGCATGAGCATTCCGGCGTTGTCACTATGTGTGGCTGATAAAGACATAGGACTTTGATTAGGAAAGACTTTTGTGATTGAATTTAATACAAAGAAACAAAATTGACTTATGAACGTGAGAATATTATAGTATCATAAGACTCAAGATTTTGGATAGAGTCAGTGAGTTGCTTTACCTTGAAACCTGATCGTGGAAAGACGCAAAATAGATGGACAGCATTACAAACAGCAAGATAAATTAAATGCTGTAGTTGATGTAGCGGGTTTTTTACGCAAGTTTCTACGTAATTGTTGCAAACATTATGTAACATACAACGTTCACGTCATCACACTTTGTTGCTGACGGCACAGGAACATCCATGAGTGCGAATTGATTGTTGCATACTTCGAAGTGTTTGTGAGCGGATAGGAGATCTTTCATTCGCGAGAACTCTGAATCCTACGATCAAGAGAGAGATATTCAATAGCAAAAGCTGGTATACTCTTTTCCCACTAATATTGCAGGGCAGTATTTCTGCGACGTGAACATTGTCTTAAAAATGGAGGATAAGAAAGAGAATAGAATCCACATAGACATCCCACTTTTTGAGTTTGTACGGGTCCAGATGCATGAGAACCAGGTCGAGAACAAAAGATAGCAACGCAATCAAGGCTAATGACAATGCCGCGTCAACAAATGTGCAGCCGATGCTAGAAAGGTACCAATCATATCGCGCGAAATGTCGTGACGGGTTCAGCGATTTGACTTGTCAATAAGTCAAATCCGTTGCTTTAATCGCAAAGTACTGTTTTGGAGAATAACTTCAAATAGTACTACAACCAGCGGAAAGTGGACTAGCCCGTACAGAAGTCTTAAGAGTCTTTCCTTACATATGCTGCTTGATGTTTCGTTGTCTGTAGTTCAAAAAAGTGAAAGATTCTACGCGAAAATATCGAGTACTATACAGATGCCCCACTTTTTTTCGTATATATAATGTGCGGATCTACGCTCTATCGTAACACACACAAATTCACGCAAGCCATTAAGCGTATCACGTGGTGAGAGGTGTAATAGCGATTCTCCGCAAAAGTCGTGCAGCATAAGGTATGATCTCCTAGACGAAGCAACAGGTCGCACAATTGAACAAGAACACGAGTTGCGTTGCAGTGATCTGTGGACTGAACTAGCGACAGATATGCCTATTTTTGTGATGCTTACGGATCCCAAGGACATACCAATCGAATTTGAGTATCCAGCATGCAACCAAAAACATGATGACTGCGAGGACAGCGCAGCTAAGTAGACACCCAACTATATATTAGGGAAGAAGCGACTAAGGATATACATTTGCGATATCCAATAAACTTGATGAGACTCCCAACCAGTGTCTGATTTCTGATTACGAAATTAAATTGCAACGGGTCGTTTCAACAGAGTTGCCGCGCACTTTTTACAGAGTGAGCCCGACTCATAAAACTTGCATTGAAAAACGCCCAGAAGCTGGGTTCGTGCGCTCCTACTATACCAGTATCAAAAGCCTTAGTGATCAATACTTTTACTTCCCTTTGATTGTATCCTCTAAATTAAATATTAGTTAGATTAATACTAAATTTTACGTTTACTTTTTTCACTCCGAGCTGACGTGTCCTTTTTCGAAGTTCTACAATACCGACAATCTAGGTTCTTATAATCATTCACTATTACAGCAAGATGAATTTTGTATGGTCGAACCGTACTGATTTGAATGCATTTGTCCTCACTTATTTCGTATTGAAGACACTGCGCAAAATTGACCACCACATGACCAACTACTGTGCCGGAACTTTAAATCTACTCGTTATACTGTACCCTGTCAGCTCTTTTTTCAAGCCCGTAACACAGTACCTCGCTAAGATGTGGACCACACTAAGGATTACGCTTTTTGTTTTTTTCAAGAAATTCGAAAAAGTTAGAGCTCTACTTAAAACCACCCCACCCGGTGTTCAATTCCATTTTAGCACTTTACCGTATATCCACTTTCAGACAGTTCGTCACGGGTGTGCGCTCCCATGCACCAGATAAAATGGCTCAACGAGCCCCCCAAAAAGCACGGTCACGCTCTATTAGAAATTTCAATGTGAAGACCGAGCTTAATCCGATGAGAATGATTTCGGCGACACCCCTAGTCCTGACCAAACACGTTCTCTCTCACCCAGCAATTCACGGCTTAGCCACCCTGAAACAGGGTTACACATACCCTTGTATGAAAGCGTGGGTCACACCAGAAGGTGTGACCTTACAAGGTGTGAATTACGGAAGTCGGTTTAATTACACAATGTTGTGGCTACACCGTAATAAAAAGCCACGACGTGGCAGATCTACCGGTAGCTATGCATATTAATTGGGTTTTTCTAGTTTATTAGAAAAATCTAAGGTCTTAGATAAAGGTAGCTCAGCCGCAAATAAAATATATATATACAGTCTTAACTTTGGGCGGAAAAGCGTATTTGCCTTAGTACTCTTGGAGGTAGCGAATTGCGATCCTTTACACTCGTACTGGTTCTGGAATAGAACGTAAGATCGGTGACCTTAATAAGCTTCTTCTAAGCAAAGATCTACGGCAGCTCCGCTGCAGATCTTTTTTCCACCCAAACTGGCCAATCTTAACGTGCCGGTCTCATTGAAGGGTAACTATTTGCTGTCGGCAGTTGTCACTCCAAAGCTTGTCTCAAGGTACTAATATCTGAACAAGTCCTTCTATGTGGGGTCATGTTGGATGTATTGTCAGTGTTATTGTATATTCAGCTGATCCCAACTTACCTAATTTAAATACCGCTTCATCGCTGCTAATTTCTTTATAAGTTTTTTTACCGTTCTATTCCGCTTCATCCCTGCTAATTTCTTTATAAGTTTTTTACCGTTCTATTACGCTTCATATGACCAATATGATCATAATCAAAGGCCTGGTCCTTATATTTGCCGTTACTGTATGAGCTGCAACTTTCAAAACGTACCTCGTCCACTTTTATCGTTCTACCAATCCCATTTCTGCGAAAAACTTTTTACGTAGCATTCTTTCTTCGAAACTTGTATGATTTATTGAGCAACTTCTCCTTGACTTCAATCAGTGTTATGTTCCACATCGGTGCATTTAAATTGACTCCGACACGTGACTGCATCACCGTATAAAGTCTGGAAGAGTTGGTACGCATCTACAGTCCTGCATTATTTCAAAGCTTACTCTGTCCTTCGGCAGAACGAGACACGAGAATATTTGTTCTGAAAGAAGACATGTGAGGTTCGCAATGGATCTGAACATGCGACATTGAATAGCTTCTAAAAAGTCTGTGATCTCTGTTTTTCACGATAATGCTACAGTGAACAAAATTACACTCAGTAGCTCAATCAAGTGGCATTCATCCTATGATGAGCTGTCATTGATACAAGTTACAGCGGGGCAGCCGCAGCTCTTTGCTTATAGAGAGCTTACTAAGGTCACTGACCTTACAAGCTTAACCAGAATCAATAAGAGTGAAGCGTATCGCAATCCGCTACCTTCGAGAGGAACCAAAATCGTCACGAAGGCAAATATTATCTATGTTCAAAATTGAAACTGCACTTATTTGTAATATTTTCGGCAGAGCCGCCTATATCTAGAACCTCAGGTTTTCTTGATTAGGGAGTAAATCCTGATTAATATGCAAAACTACTGACAGTCACGCCACCTAGTGGCTTCTTGTTACGGTGTAGCCACGCAATTGTAAGATTACACCAAATTGTGAGATCAACACTTTTGTACGATCACACCATCATGTGTGACCCACCTTTTCATACAAGGGGACGTGTAACCCTATTACACTCTCCCCAAACAAAATTGTGAATACCCACACTTCACATTTAACTGTCGACTTAAACGAGTCTAGCGTGTCTGAGACACATTTACACCCCAAAGACCATCTTTAACCGTTCTTTGCTTAATAAGCCTTGTGTATATGACACGAGAAACGCCCAGCCTCACTGGTTCTGAGAGTGCACGCGGTCAGAACCCTTCTTCGTCTTCTGCACGAGATGCACATCCGGACAGTACGTCCGCGGCTTTACGGAAAGCACACGCTAAGCCCTCGGCAGCCAGGCGCCACACACAGCGCTCGCCCGGGGCGGCGAATTTCCTCATCGAGGATTTGGATAAAGTCGACTACGACTCGGATACTAGGAAGATAAGGAAGGTGAGGTGTGTCAACGGCCCAACGTGAACCCTGCTCGAACCGTTCAGACACCATGTCCGTCCCCGACCTCTCGACTTCCTGGGGAAGTAGTGTTATTACCAATCGAATCGGCGAGGCACAGGAGCAGCAGTTGGAGGCTGACCACAGGGCAGCTCTTTTGCGCTCGTATCCTCGTTCGGTCCTAAATCCTCGTGCGGAATACGGCCTCCGCTTGTTCAGATCCCGCTTCTACAGCGGAAGACGATCACTCGATCGTTAGGCGTCTGCGTAGTCGAGCCTTTGGCCACTACACAAGCTGAGCTTGTCAAGCGAAATGCTCTCCGAGCTCGCTTCTGAGTACCTCAAGAAATTTTAAAGGATAGGTACTGTGCTCGACTGCACGCTCAAAGAGGAGGCGCTCCTGTACATGCTATGTGGACTATTCCTGTGGTGCTCGCCCCTGGTGAAACCGCTGCAGTCGATGAAGAGCTTTTTGAGCGATGGATGAAGCGGCACTGGAAACCTTCTAGCTATCTCACTTACACCGACGCCACAAGGAAGTGGGCGTGCAAAACCCAAGGTGCAACGCCGACTTCCTGCACTATTGTCGACCTGCGACACATGGAATAATCCATCACGCTCCCGCGAGCTCAATGGCTTAACACACGGGTGATTCTACGACCACAGCAGCTCAGGGCCATCGCCTTGAGCTCAGACCATGGCCCTTCGGCTTCCTGGGCTACCACCGACAGGCGCGGGGTGTCCGACGACGCGAAACGTCATGATCCTTCTAATTAAAAGCATCCACTACATCTGGGCAATCTTGCCGAAGTGGTACCTCAAACTCCCACGTGTTTCGGAGTTTGGGTATCCCCGCCACTTAC